CGGCCTCATGGTTTCTGATGAAAAATCAGCTGTTAATCTTACTGAGGATTCCTTATATGTGAAGAATCACTTCTCGCCTGCTGTTTTCATGATTGTCTTTATCTTTTGACAGTTTAAGTATATGTCTTGGTATGAGTCTCTTTCAATTTATTCTGCTTAAAGTCAGTAAAGCTTCTTAAATGCATAGACTTTTATCTTTCATGAAATTTCAGAAGTTTTCAATCTTATTTTTAAAAATATTCTTTCTGCTCTTTTCTCTTTCTTATTCCTTCTGGACATCCCATAATGTGTATTTTGGTATGCTCCATGGTGTCTGCAGGTTCCTTAGGTTCTGTTACTTTTCTTTATTTCTTTTTTTTTTTCCTGCTCCTCAAACTGAATACTTTTAACTGATTCTTTATTCTGATTGCTCAAATCTATTGCTGAGCATCTACTCAACTTTACATTTCAGTTATAGTACTTTTCAGCTCCAGAATTTTTATTTGGTTCCTTTTTATAATTTCTATCTATTGATATTCTCATTTTGTTCACAGGTAGTTTTCCTGATTTCCTTTAGTTCTTTATCCATGGTTTCCTTTAGCCCTTTGAGTGTATATGACAGTTGATTCAAAGTCTTTGTCTATTTGGTCCAATGATTAAACTTCTCAAGGATGGTTTGTTGATCTTTTTTTTCCTGTCAATGGCCATATCTTCCAAATTCTTTGTATGCATTGTAATTTTTGCTAAAACCTAAGCATTTTGAATATTATGCTTTGCTAACTCTGAAAAACCAGACTCTCCCCTGTAGTTGTCCATTTGCAAGGTAGCTTGAAAAGTCACTAAACAAATGGAAAAGACTGTATTTCCTGTCATGTGCAATCACTGAAGACTCTGTTCTGTTATCTTTGTGATTAGCCAGAGAACTGACAGAGATTTCCTTAAATGCCTAGAGCCAGGAAGAAAAAAAATACATGTAGTACTGTCTTTGCAGTTCAGCTCTGAGCCGGAGCGTTCCTTCAACACTAAGCCAGGCTACCTAAGCCTCTTCCTTTGCCTTGATCTCCTATTTCCACAAAGCCCACAGATCTGCCAGAGGTAGTTACCTAACATCCACTCAGGTCTTTTCAAAGCATGTGTCAGTTCCTGGGCCTGTTTAATTTCCCATGTATTTACAATGGCCCTTTGAGCCCCTGTTCCAATAACCATTCTCCTCAGCCTTCTCTTTGCCAGGTTTTTGGATTCTGTCTGCCACTTGTCCCATCCGTCATCCCTTGCCTCAAACAGGCACAGAGTGTGCATGTCCTTATATCTTTCGATAGTTGTCACTGTCACCATGAAAGCCAAACCAGTCCAAGACCAAGGGGGCAAGTCAAAGGTCAGCCTCTGCGCTAGTCCCTCAAGGAACCAGCAGACAAACCAAATCCCATACCACACCATGTTAATAACAAGGCCCGTATTAGCCCTCTGGCACTAGGAAGCCACACCAGGAACATCAGCCACTAGTCCCAAAGCTGCTGCCACAGCACTAAAAGATGAAAATGGTAGTTCAGTGGACAGAAACATCACAAGGCTCACACTGAATTTCAGCGACCCTTCTCTTTTATTGCTCAGTCCCCTCCTTGCTGTAAACTTGGGATTCGATTCCGAAGTTTCAAAAAAGTTGATTCTGTCAGTCTTTCTCAGCTGATGGTTGTTTCAGTGGAGGGATTGATTCTTTAGGCCCCCTACCCTGGTCTCCTAAGACTTATTTCAGGCTTATGCACCTCCACCGAAGAAAAACAAGTGCACACATTGGGAGCACCCTCATGGCTGCAGGCGGGGCGTGGTAGCAGCCCGAGATCTACCGCATTTTCTAGTTTGTCTTTGTACTGAATTATGTCTTATCAACTGTCTCAGTTGTGTTCACTTATGCCTTGCCGCACAGTTCAATCCAAGTGCTTGTTCACATCCTGAATGACATATTTCAGTAGTATATGTACATTTTTATTGTAAAATACACATAACATAAAATCTACCATTTTAACCATCTTAAAGAGTAAAATGTGGTGGTATTAATTATGTTCACAATGTTACACAACCATCACTAGTGCTGGTCCCAGAACTTTTTCATCATCTTACACAGAAATCCCATAACCCATTCTGCTTCCCCTCAGCCCACAGCAACTACTGATCCTCTGTTTCTGTGGATGTGTCTATTACGGATATTTCATGTAAGTGGAATCATACAATTCGTGAGCCTTTGTGTCTGGCTTCTTTAACTTAGCATAACTTTTTCAGAGTTCATCAATATTTTAGCAAATATCAGCACTTCATTCCCTTTTATTGCCACATAATACTTTATTATATGGATATACCACACTTCCTCTGTTTGTCAGTTGGTGAGTTGTTTCCAGTTGGACTATTTAAATAATGCTGTTATGAGCATTTGTCTGCAATTTTTTCATGTGGACATATGTTCTGAATTGTCAGAGAATTAGATATATACTTCAGAGTAAATAGCTGGGTCACAAAGCATCCTTCATTTTTAACATTTTAAAGAACTACCAAGCTGCTTTCCAAAGTAACTATATTAATCCATTAATAATGAATGAAGTTTCTATTTTCTCTACCTTTTCTCCACAATAGCACTGTTATTGCCTGCCTTTTTATTTTTAGCCCTCCTAGTGGATGTGAAGTGGGATCATTGTGGTTGCGGCTTGCATTTCCCCGGTGAATAATGATGTTGAGCATCTGCTCCTGTACCTGTTGGCCATTTGTATATTTTCTTTGGAGAAATGTCTATTCAAGTCTTTTGCCCATGTTTTCATCATGTTGTCTTTATGTTATTGATTTTTAAAAGTTATTTATATGTTCTGGATACTAGAAGCTCATTAGATATATGGTTTGCAAATATTTTCTCCCATTCTGTGTGCTGTCTTTTTACTTTCCTTGATAGTATCCTTTAATGCACAAAAATGTTTACTTTTGACAAAGTCTCATTTATCTATTTTTAATTTTGTTGCTCATACTTTGGGTGTCATATTTAAGAAACCATTACCAAGTAGGAGATAACAACATCCCTTCCACTTTGAAAATAAACAATACATCGATGTTAAAAAAAAAAAAAAAAAGAGGGAAGAAACCATTGTCCCAATTCCAAGGTCATGAAGTTTTCATTTCTGGTTTTTGTAAGATTTTTAATTTTACCTATTAAGTTTAGGTATTTGATCCATTTTGAGTTAATTTTTTTTATGTGGAGTGAAATAAAAGTTCAATACCTTTCGTTTACATGTGGATATACAGTTGTCCAGCACCATTTGTTAAAAAGAAAGATGTTCTTTCTCCAGTAAATGACCTTGGGACTCTTACTGAAAATCAGTCTATCATAGGTATTTGGGTTTATTTCTGAACTCTCAGTTTCATGTCTTTTTGATGCTTTAAATTTTTCAGTTGTTATCATCATTTTGTTTTTGATAAAATGCAAGTTACTTCTTTTCACTCCCCTTCTAACAGGACACATTTCATCCAAATCCAAATGTTCCATTAACAAAAGTGATTCTGGTGGTGAGGGTGGGGAGGAGGAAGAAATGACTACCCTCCCTCTCCCTGACACTGTCTTTCCCTCACTGCTGTTAAGAATGGATTGCTTTAAATTATCTCCATCAAGATGAATGCCCTGTTTTTCAGTTTACAGTTCCATATTTCCAAACATAAAGAGTTTAATCTACATAGAAGAATTACTGTATGGTTTTGAATTTGACTTGTCTTTTCCAAACATGAGAACACTGTTTTGAAAAATCTAAAGATTCAGGTGGTGAACATTCTATTCTGTCATTCCTTGGTTTGCTTTTTAATCTTATGTTTCGTAAAAGTATTGACATTTTTGTTTATACTTTGCTTAAAAATTGCTGTGGCAGCTGGTCACAGCATAAACTGATACAGAACCAGAACAGTGACCAGTTTCCCTAGCAACAAGCTCTCCACATCAAGACAAACCCCTTCTGGCTCAGTCCCCCTAATTAATTCAAACAGCCCTCCCTAGAAAACATGGCAGGTGGGATTGGGTCACAAAGCAGAACCCAGGGTTGGAGTGTCCATAATGAACATTAGAGAGAAAATTGTGAAGAAAAAAGACAGTGAGAATTCTCCTTGTAAGTAAAAAGTTAGTTTCCCTTTCCTTTTACTTCTACCTTAAAGTGCGAAATTGTTAAGCCCCAGCTCTTAGCCCTCTGCTCTTTTTCTGTTTACTTTCTCAATTATGTCAATTTTGCTGAGAACACAATAATTAAATGTAGCTCTTCGTGTCCAAATTGGTATTATCTAAGATACATTGTGTTTATTTTAAATAATGTTCCTGTTTAATTGAACTAGTAGCAGTAGCAATAATTGCAATTTATGTAAATGACATTCTAGAAGCCTTTCCATGGTCCCTCACCAAGCCCTGGTGTTGGGCCCAGAACTGTAAGTGTACACTCATTGTACTTCCTCCTGCTATCCTGGCAGTGTTATCACGACAGAAATAAGTAAAAGTACACGGCTTTTGGCTTACTCAGCATGTTGATTTTTGCATTGTCATTATTACAGATGTTGATGACCTACCTAATGCTAAGTTACATTTAAGGAATACATGTACAGGAGAAACTGGTGTTTTAGGGGTTGTCTTCCTCTTACTTTTTTTTTTTCTTAATCATAGTTACTTTCAGGATTTAAAAAAATTAGGCCTGAAATACAGAGTTATCACAATCGAAACTTCTTTATTCATTTTTGTTGTATCATTTTTTGAAACACTGTGCTGATATGACAGTGTTTTAAAAATATTTTCACCTAGTATTGCTAATGGTAGCAACCGCATGCAGTGGAAATTAATCTGCGTGAATTTTACATTTAATTTGGAGAAAGGAGGCTTCAGAATGTGCCCTGGAAATGTTTACTTTACAAGGTACATTGCAGATGCTTAATCTATTTATTTCTAGTAAGTATGGATATTTATTGTAATAAATTTGGCAAAACTAAATATATTTACATATATTCTCTTAATATAGGGCATCACATTTGACGAATTCAGGTCATTTTTCCAGTTTTTGAACAACTTGGAAGACTTTGCAATAGCCTTGAATATGTATAATTTTGCAAGTCGTTCTATAGGGCAAGGTAAGTAATCGTCTTTCAAAACTTAAAAGGAAAAACTAATCATATGTTGTTTCTAGGAACTTTGACAACAAATTAATGAGACATTTCATATTGGCCATCAAGTTGCTTGAAAGTGTGGTGTATGCTTCAGTGGGAAATCTGTTTTCCCTAAGCAGTTAGGGAAATTTGCTAAATTTTTCCATTGAACTTCTTACTGGCTTCATTTCATATTATGGGGAAGAGCTAACAATGCTTGTAAAGATCCAAAGAGGAAGAAACGTCATGGCCGCTGGTAACATGGAGGGATGCCTGTCTGCCTGTAGAAGAGCCAACTGGCCATGCCCGAACGTCGTCACGGGATGATATTTATATTTCCGATTTTACTCTCAATCTCTGCTGACTCAGAAACCTGAATGTTGCCGCCAGAACCCCCTCTGCTGTGGACTTACATTAATCGAGTTTTATGAATAATATATAAAATCGAATGTTGATTTTGCATTAATTTACAAAGAAATACAGCTGTCACAGAATTCAGAATGCTGTCATCCTCAGGACCAACTCGTTCTGGCCCTGCAGACAAACAAGTCCAGTCGTTTTCCTAGGATTCCGCGGCTGTGACCACTTTCCCTTCCTCGTGGGTCATATCCTTTTTTAATATTCTTGCCACATGAGGACTTTCTATTTGTGTCTTTGAAGTAATTTTACCTGTGTCTGCCATAATCTAGTAAGTGCTAATTCCCAGGTTTAAATCTCAGAGGACAGTCTTGTTATTCCCAAGTTCTGGGGAGAAGCCAAACTATGGGCCTTAAGTGCTAATAAATTCTCTCTCTCTCCCAAAAACATAGATATTGAATCCCTCACTTAGCTGCATTCATGTATTCACTGAGTTAGAGAAACCTGAAAATTATTCATATTTCACCCTTTGTCTGGTGCAGATGTTCAAATAAGGCATCCTCTCAACTCAACCTACCTTAGTGTTTTCAAACGAAAACTTTGGGAACCCTGCCTTCACAGACCAGCATTTACTGCCATGATAAACCCACTAGTCAACCTTGAGAAGAAAAACAAGTCAGTATCTGCTTACCTGGTTCAGAATGGAAAGTTACTCTTTTACTTTATGTAACTGGGAATGAAGGAAATCAAAAGTGTGTTCTTGCAGGTGCTAGGAATAAATATATCTCTCTTTTCCTCTCTGATGTTTCCTAGACAACTCACAGAATGATCTTTCTAAGACATAGACCTCTTCTGCAACATGCCTGCTATGGAAACTCTTCAGTTCCACACGCTGACCCCATCCATCTCTCAGGGCTCAGCTCACATACAAATCTCAGCCTTTCTTAGTCACTGCTCTTCTCTCTCCTTTCCCTACGACTCCACACTACAGACAGAAGTAATCACTCATGTCCAAGTTCTCATACACTTTGTTAATTTTGTGTGGTCCTGTGTTAGGTTATTTGGGCAGGTGTCTCATTGCCCATCTGAACCGTAAGTTTCTTGATAACTTATTCATCTTAATTTCTAAAGTGTCTGTCACTGATAGTAGGTGCTCATTAAACATCCACTGAATATGAATACATTATTAACCTAAGATACAGCTACTTCTTGGTCCTTTTAATTCAAACCACAAACCTTTTCTGTTCCCTGAAAGATAGCATGATTAAAGAAGAGCCATGTGTTACCTAAGGTCATGACCCATGTTTAGAAAAACTTCTTGTATAACCTTTCTAGCAATTAACAGATTATAAAAATAATGTTAACCGTTTACTTCTTTTCTGTAACATTTATCTAGATGAGTTCAAGCGTGCCGTCTATGTAGCTACTGGCCTCAAACTTTCACCACATTTAGTGAACACAGTCTTCAAGATTTTTGACGTTGACAAAGATGATCAATTAAGTTATAAAGAATTTATTGGAATTATGAAAGACAGACTCCATAGAGGATTCCGGGTAAACCAATAAATTTGAAGCCTATTGATACCCTTTTTAAAAATTGAAGAAGGAAAAAACCCCATCTAAGTTTCAAAAACAATTTATATAAATTTTTAAGGATATAAATGTGAAATGTTACATTTGAGAAGAAAAAACATAGGGTCATACTTATTTTCCAAAACACTTTAAGGTGATAAAAGTTAATGCTTTTTAAAAATATAAATCAGTTTGAATTTCAGTGACTTATTTTCATATTCAATTAATTTAATGTCTCCATCTCAGTTTGTGGGGAGAACTGTTGCCAAATATTTTTTGATTAATTCAGTCAGGACACAGGCAATTCAGACTTGGTACTATACAAAGAAATAGCATGATTCTCATTTTGCATGATGCAGATTTCCAGTAAGCAATTCGAGGCTCTTAAGTCACTGCATCTTCAGTACTTTAAATGGAAAACAAGGTAAAAAAAATTTTGTCTGTTGAACTGGTTTTTTTTCCTATTAATGCCTTATACTGAAAATTACTAATGATTTTTTCTCAGAAATATGTTTTAAATTATGAAATATAGTGTAAGTCAACAAATGTTTACACATTTAACATATTTGTGGATGTGCCACAAATGGAAAAAGAAAAAATTTTTCTAGTAACAGCTAGAATGTTCAGTCTTCTCTCTTTGGTAAGAATACCCCTAAGTATTATACATCTAAAAAGATAAAAAGTTATATATACCCCCCCAAAAAAATCAAGATTCATCTGAAACGTTTTTAGAGATTTTTAATGATTTTTTAAAAATCCTAAGCGTGTTGGTACAGATACTGTGTACTTAACTGCCACCTAGCGGTCACTTGTTAACATTGGCGACTGATGGCACGAATAACCTGAAAGGATGGATATACGTTGAAAATCACTTATTTTTCCTCAAAAATTTTAGAGTAGCCAGATCGAATTAAAATATAAACTATGCTAGAAGCCTCTGACACTGTATTTCTCTCTCAAATTTTATGTTTTTATTTTTACTTTATGTATTTATTGCATACCTGTGTCCCCATAACATTTTATTTACATTTGCTTACTTTTTAATCCTCTGTTCTACAGGGTTATAAAACAGTGCAGAAGTATCCCACTTTCAAATCCTGTCTAAAGAAGGAACTTCATAGCAGATAAGTATGTTAGCGTCTCTGTCTAAATTTGTTCAGTAACAAAGGAAGGGTCATAATCTATTTTTCTATGATGACATTTAGGAAATCACTGAAAGAAATAGACTTATAACTTATTTTTTTTTATTTTTAGGCCACTAATTCAATTTACAAATTATTCTTCTAATGATTTTAGACCAGTAATTTAATTTAAGAATTAGCCATTACAACAAAGCATTGGTTTGCTACTATTAAACTGTGATCCAAAAATGAACTAGAATAAATACTCATCTGACTGGAATTCTCTTGGAATGTCTTGAAAGAAAAATTTTCTCTTAAACCTACAGTTTTGTATCTGAGCAGATACAATATAACAACTCCAAGCAGGATTTTCATCATCTAGGACCATTAGCATCTAAGGAATATTAGTTACTGTTTTATAGGATCATGTCCAAACATCGGCTGCAATAATAGCAGGTAACTTTTTAGAGTTATTTTAGGTGCCTGGCCCTGTACGCGGTGTTCCACATGTAGAGTCAGAGAGAGATGTCCCATTTAACACCAGGGAAAATAAAGACATAGTGAGTAATTTACCGAAGATAACTTGCTAGTCAGTGGCCCACTAGGATTTGAGCCTCATTCTGTCTGATGGCAAAGCCATCTTATGTATTAGTTACTAAACTATCACCATAGAATGCAGTAATTGAGGAAGATACAGGAGATTCATTCAGTTTGTGTCAACCCAAAGAAGTAACTCATATTTGCTGCTAATCTCCAGAATGAGAGGTTTGCTTTTCCTTTTTTCTTGTAAGAGCCTATTGTAGCTATAAAATGTTGGTTAATTGTGGGTTCTGATTAGTTAGGTCTGGACAGTGAATGCTTGCAAATATGTATATTTCTTGCTATTTCTCTTGAGCTTGAAACGTTTGTATTTGTCTATAGCAGTATTGCCCAAAGTGGTTCCATAGGATATCAATGTGTATTATTCTAAAAAACAAAAAAGCTGCTTAGTCCAATAAGCTTGAGAAATACTGTAATAAGCATGGTTCAGTAGGTTTCTTCCCCCTTAGAACTTATCAGATCTTAATATGCCACTATTTATTTGTCTCTCTAAGAGAAAACCAAGTATCCGCTATTTTGCAAAGCTTTCACATCTAATGTTTTTATGGAACTCATTTGGGAAACTCATGTTGGATCTAAAATGTTTAGAGGCAAGTAGGCTTATTTATCTATCTAAGGTGGTAACTGTTGAGTGAACAAAAGAAGTCAGGTCTTCTTTGTCTCTATTTGAAGGAGCTTTATACTCCCTATAAGAATTTAAACTAACATTAAAAAAAAGTAGGACCCTATCATTTGTTCATTTAGGTAGTATTCCCAACCATGTAGTAGTACATAGACCAAGAGACAACATTTCTTTTAGACCTTTACAGTACCAAAGGTTAGACAAGTTACTAAACAAAATACTCAACTTTTAAGTTAAAGGAAAAGTTTTAGTGAAGTCTTTGAATCTTATATTTTCCATCGAGTGTTTTCATTATGTGCCTTACTGTTTCACATTAATATCATAATAATAGTTGATTAATGCCATCACTCTTGGTTTCATCCTAAATAAATATTGCTTTTATATATATATATATATTTTTTAATTAGGTACTTCCAAAGCAAAGTTTTAAGGATTATTATCTACACGACGATGCAAGAAGCACAAATTTCAGAGAATGGAAGCAGGTCTGAGATCAGAACATGTAGAAATGAAGGAAAAGATGAAATGCTAATTATAATTTGTCTTGACAGAATTCTTGAACATAAGACACTTAAAATGCATCTTCTCACTAACTATACATGTTATGTGTTATCAAGTTGAGCTTTTGCCTTGATTTACTGAACTCTGTACTTTTTCATTCCCTTCAGAAGTATATAGATACTTCCAATGACTATATAAGAATGTATTTAAATTTTTTATTTATTTATTAGAAATTGCCTCATTTCAAAATAATGTATGACTCCTGGAATCTAGATCCCTTAAAAATTAACAGCAACAACATATTTTCTTTGGTTTTGGACTGTGAACTTATCTTCAGAAAATGAATATTCCTTGAGATTTATTTTAGGGCCTTTAAAATTGTTGATAAATCCCCATTTTTACCAGGTTTTTAATTACATTAAAATAATTTTGAAAAATAGAAATTAAGTTACTGTATAATATACTGTGATGGTTTACATCGTACTTTTAACGTTTAAAAGTACTTAACATATATTGTGTGAATCATATAAAGTTTTTAAAAAGTTTTTGCTCATTTACCAAAGTCATCAGAATGTCTGTTATTCTTTTATGTATACAGTAAAGAAATGTAAAATGTAGATTTTTTTTCCCTCAAAAAAAGTCCCATCTCGCTGGTGGAAAGAGTGGCATTATTGGCAGCCGTCGCCGTCCTTGCCATTCTGGGCCTGGACATGCTTCTGGTCCTGACCACAGACGGCGTACGTTCGTACCACTAGTCAGAATAGTCTCCCGCAGCTTTGTGACGTACTGCATATCATTAGTCCGTGAGTGCTATAAAACGCAAATATGAAATGGTTTAGAAGAGCGATGTATATATTTGGTAGAAGTTAATATTTTGTTTCTTGTGAAAGGACCACATGCCAGACAGCCAGTAATAATAATTTAAGTGTAATTCATTATTTCAAAACAATATGACTTAAAGAGAAAAGAAAAACTTTCTAGTGAGAAACAAAATTAGACTTTCACATGGAGAAAATAATTTGATAGTACTTAATGGAAGTCTCTTCAGTTAAAAAGTGTAGTTTATAAAAGGATACTGTGCAAAAATAAAGAATGAATTTAAGTTAATATATTTATATATTATATGTGGAAGATAAGTTCATTTATCTTCTTTTCTAAGATGTATTTAATGTAAATTGTACATACTCCAGCTATTACCTTGCTTTTGCATATGAAAATAGGAAATACTGACTTTGTTTTTGTGAGTTATTAATGTGAAATTGATAGTTCTGCATCAGCCTATTTATAAAAGTAATGTTATTTCCAAGAAGATGTTACTATTAGCATTGACTATGTTTTGTTAAACTTTTTACATTCTTTATCTGGTATTATTTCTTACATTGCTATAGAAATATATGATTCATAGATTTGAAGATTCCATATAGTATAATAATTTAATTTCACCTGCTTTGAAGGTTGATTCAATTGATTGACTAAATGAAAGTGCCAGCCCACTCATTTAACATGCCCAAAGTCTATTTTACCTTACACTGGATGTTCTCAATATTAATTATTTGCTATCCAGGATAACTGAAAAAATGCAATTTACTTTTATATTTAAGTTATATTATCTTGCCTACATGAAGAAATTGCTATTGAGAACAGTTCTTTATTTTTTTTTTATCCTAAGGTATTGTTTTCCTTTATATTGATTCTTAAAAAGTAGACAAGGGATGTGGTGAATTACATGGTACGAGAAATGGACAAATTTTTTAACACTTGCATAATATGTAGGAGGAATAGAAGAAGAGAACAGTTCTTTAAATAGAGATTTAAAAATGAATTAGCTCATTAAAATTCTTTATAATTCTCTCACTCTCCAAAGGCATAGTACATATGCAGTCTTTTTTGCTCTTCAGTGTAAATGAATATTCTTCTATAAGGCTGCAACATAATATTAAAATGGGAATAAATAAAATATTCTGATAAATTAAATTGAGAAAGAGTAATTACAGTGATTCCCTCTGTATTATCACTGTTGAACTTCATCATCTATAAAATGGGAGGTGAAAATCTCTCACTGGATTGTTGTTTACATTGATTAAAAAAATTTTAATGCTTTGAAAATAGTAACAGACTAAATATATGTATGCTGTTACACTGAGTTGTTTCCTTCTACAAATTATTCTGTGGAAACATGAAGCTATACGTAAATTTTAGTATCATACTCTCTACAGAAAGTCAGCATGTTAAAAGGTTTATGCTATTTCTCAGAATCATTTCATGTTGAGAAATTCATTTAACTTAAGTCCTAGTTTATTGTTCTTATTATAAAATACAATTGTAAAGCAACCTGTTGTGCATTCTTATATTATCTTAAAATGAATATACCTGCCCTTGAATAGAGAAACTTAGTACTTTGTTTATATGTGTATCTGTGGACTAATGTCTTTCTGAAAAACGTCACCTCCGAACTTTGAAAATTTTTGTTGATTACCAAACCAACATGGATCTTAGATCTTAGACCCTCTAGTATAGCAATACATGCCAATGAGATTAATCTCATTGGGATTTTAGTGGTGTAAATAAATCACAGAGCCATAAGCTTCTCAAACTGTATAATAGGAATTCCTATATTCTAGAGTCATAGTCAGAAAGTTTCATGTGACTGAATGGGGTATCGGTTTTGTTTTACAGTACTGGTTGTTTAAATGTCTTAATTAAACCAACACTACAGCAGACCCTGTTTTACTAATGTTAGTACTTGGTAGGCATCATTTTATTAAGACAACTCCTACTGTTTTATAGCTATATATTAACATTTTACATAGTGCTTTTACTTCCATAGGCTGTAAAAATATGAATTGTATAATATTCACTAATGTTAAAATAAAAATTCTAAGTGATAAGAAAGCATGTGGTTTTTTCTTTTAATTGGCAGCCCTTTTACTTTGTGTCCTGCAATCAATCACATCTTATATTCTGTGAAATACTGTATGATGAAAGCCAACGCAAAGAGAATTCTCTATATCTTTATAATTATCATTAGATCACAATCAGTATTTTTGGCAGACATCTTAAGAACTGAGGAATATACCTAGAATTGTGACTATAGGCACATAAATAAATATACAATGCTGAGAGGAAATGAAAACATTATTATGGAAGTTTTCTGGAAAAGATAAATTTTATCCAGTGTTGTAAAGGAAGAGAAGGACAAGCAATTATGGAAAACAGGATAGAGAAAGTAAGAAGAGAATGGAGAAGGGATCTGAATGAGGAAAGATTTTTTAAACCTGGATTGAATAGAGGCACCTGGGTGGCCCAGTCGGTTAAGCGGTTAAACATCTGCCTTCGGCTCAGGTCACGAACCCAGGGTCCTGGGATCGAGTCCGGCTTTGGGCTCCCTGCTCAGCAGGGAACCTTCTTCTGCCTCTCCCCCTGCTTGTGTTCTCTCTCTCTCTCTCTCTCTCTCTCTCCCTCCCTCCTCTGTCAAATAAATAAAAACCTTTTTAAAAATAAATAAATTGGGAATGAATAGACAGTTTTTAGAAAAATAAATTTAAAGACATGCAAGTTAAATCAATGACAATATATCCTTTCCCATATCAGACTGAAGAGATGGAGTGGTTTGGAATACACAGTGTTGGTTAAGCATGTGTGGCAATTACTGGTGAGGCCATACGTTTGGGAGCAGCATCTTTGGAGGGCAATATCTAGAAATAGCTCAAAGTTCTGACCTAGAATTTTACTTCTGGTATTGTAATATCCCAATACATATATTCATAAATTTGCATGCCAACAAATCTATCTGCAAAATGACACTGCATGTAACTATGAAAAAGAATGAAGTCTGCTTATCGTGCTGATCTGAGATGATGGGCAAGGTATTTTTATAGGAGCACAGCAAGGTACAGAAGAATCTACATGTTCAAAACACACTTTCATTGCCTAGAATTGTATTTTAATGTATCTTTATCAAAGTTATATGTATCTGAAAGTATATATTTCCGAAAGTCAAAGAGCTCTAGAGAGTTAAAATAAAAACCAGCATCTCTCTTCCCCTCAACCCTCACTTCTGCTCTCAGAGGCAATGCCACTTTCTAATCTTGGTATCTGCCTTCCTATTTCAGGATAATATGTTACACAGATACTTACTGATTGATTTAATTTTTTAGATTACTGACTGTTGACTTCCTACAAAGGAAGATGGGGGTTTGGCTGTTTTATGCAATCCCCCTCCAAGACGGACATTTCCCCTTCCCCATCCTTTTTGTATAGTTAGAACATAACTTTAGTGAAATCAATTATTATAGCATCATCAGTTATTATATTTCTTTTCTTATACATCTTACTTTCCCTAGAGTTAAAATTTTCACCCTTTCCGCTTGCTTAATTTTTTGTGTAATTCTCATGTACCTACCCATGACGAATTCAACCCCTGACTCATCCGCAGAACTAAACATATATTGTTAATACATTCCAACACATCAAGTAATAGTAAGTTTTTAATCATAATTTTAGAAATGCCTCCCGGGGCTCTCACTCCATCTACAATGGTTGTTTTCTGGTCCTGAGGCAGAACTTCTGCTGCTGGGCGGGGGGGAAGGGAGGTGGCGGGGAGGGGGAGGGGATGGTGTTGGTGCAGGAGGTGCTTGAGATCTAAAGGCTTTATAAACAGAATTTCAGTCAATCTCATTTACAGTGCCAGCTTCAGAGGTATCTGGATCCTTGCATTCTTAAGGCTTTCGGGAACTCTCAAGGGTGAATCGGCCTCTTTCAGGGTGTCGCTCTGTTGCAGGCATTTAAGTTCTCTTTGGTAATTACCATCTGTTCCTGAGATTTGAAAATTTTGTGCCTGTACTCTCTTGTCCCTGAGAAAGAAAGTGATGCTTTTCTGTCATTTTGGATGGTTTCAGGAGGGAGTGGAAAAAAGTTGTGTCCCAAACAGCATATTTAACCGCCATACTTAGAATATATCTGGAAGTACCCATACGGAACTGAACTCGGTCACCTGTGG